TCCCCCTGGGTGGTGGGATTAAAGTGTGCCCCCCTGTTCCTGGCTTTTTTTTTTTTTTTTAAGTAGCTATTAGAAAAATTATAGTAATATATGCAGCTTGTATTACATTTATATTGAACACTGCAGCTACGGCTTAATAGACTAATTCTGCTTAATGAACTCCCCCACCCCCCCATTTTCAGGTGAGAGCTACACCCTAGTCCCCAAATCTACTCTTTCAATACCAGCAGTTATTGCTTAATAACCACTCATGTTACTGAGTCATTAGACTTTATTTTGGCTGTGTTCCAAGTTTTCATGGTATATGCACATGTGCGTGTACGTGTGGAACCTAGAGGTGGACGCTCGGTGTCTTCAGTCACTTCCACCTTGGTTTTTTAGGCAGGGTCTCTCACTGAACCTGGAGCTCAGTAGTTTGGCCAGGCTGGCTGTCCGTAGAGGTCCAGGGTCTGCTTGTCTCTGCCTCCCCACTGCTGGGATTTCAGGCATGTGCCACTGTGTCCAACTCTTTTTTACATGTGCTGGGGACACAAACTTAGAGCCTCATGCTTATGTGGCAAGTACTTTACCAACTGAGCCATTCCCCAGCTCTTTGATTTTTAAAATTATGACTGTATTGCCCTGCATGTATTTAAGTGCACACATTGTGTAATACCCACCAAGGTCAGAAGAGGGCACTGGATTTGCTGGAACTGGAGTTATGAATGGCTGTTAGCCACTGTGTGGGTGCTGGGAATTGAACCTGGGTCCTCTGCAAGAGCAGCCAGTGCTCTTAACCACTGAGCCATCTCTCCAGCCTCTATTTTGATTTTGTTTAATAGAATTTTATTATGTATCCTGGGCTGGCCTGGAACTTGTGATCCTTTTACTTCAGTCTTTTCTAAGTGCTAGGATTATAGGCATGTACCACCATGTATGGGTTATTAAAGCTATTAACTAATGATAGTTTAAACAGTTAAATTACTAGTTAAGAATGGGAAGGATACACAATGTTAGCAGCCTTAGCACATATTATAGTTTTATTTTTGATCCTGCTAACTTAACATGATACACTGAGTCCTGTAGGTCTTCTGGAAAAACTTTTTCTCTTAACTCTGAAAGACAGTGTGGGAGGCCAGGGCTGACACTTGTGTTGTTGTATCAAAGGTAAGAACATCCCCTAATGAACGTTCACCCACTGCCTACAGCATTGTTTGGGGTATTTGCTGTTACAGAAGTGGTGGCTTGTCCTACCCAGAAGTCTTATTCTCCTGTGCTTTGTTAACCTCAGTGTCTGGGTCTCAAGAGCTCAGCGATCTGTTTAGACAAGTCTTTTAGACTGGGAAGAAATCACAGGAACAACAGTTCAGCATGGCTGTGTTGGGTCTTGTACCACTTATGTGGCTTGTCACAGGCTTCTCTAGACTTTCCCAGTCCCAGCCCTCCTTGTCCTCTAACTCCTTATTTTTAACTTCTGATCCAAGGCCAAGGCAACTATATTCAACTCCCTAAGTTGTTCTCAACATGATGCATGACCAGTGGTGTGAGTGCCAGTGGGAGCCAGTCAGAATAAGTCAGAAGCCCACCACTGAATCAGTCTCTCCTCTCTCTGCCCCCATCTCCCTCCCTCCTTTCCCCCTCCCCATCTCATTCACTCTAGTCCTTGCTTTCTGGAGTTCAAAGTCAGGGCCTTTTGCATGCTACACACCTGCTCTACCACCCGTCTCCACCCCAGCAAGACTTCATTTTTAACAGGATCCCCAAGTGGGTTATGTGTTAAGGTGAGAATTACTGTAGGTCTTGGATACTCCAATGTCAGTCCTTGCTGCCTTTCGTCCACTGTTTAAAAACTGCAGCTAGATGCAGGAAGCATCTCAGGCACCAAGGTGTTTATAGTTGTTTGAAGAGCCTGATGACATAGGTCTTTACAGGGAAGCAGCCATGTCAGACATCCAGGCGAGTTAACTTAGCTCCTTATGGGTGAGACAAGGGCTCTGAATCCCAGCTTAACCCTGGCTAATCCCCATTTTTGGCTGCTCTTGTTTTCAAGAGGCAGAGCTGACCAGTGGCAAGAAAGGTTTTCAACCCTGAAACATCCAGGGTCATATCCTGCTTTAACCTCCTGCAACTCAGGAGACACGGGGAAGGCTCTTTACCCTGTCTGTGCGACTCCCTCATGCTCAGTGCACAGCAGGCCCTGGTGACGCACAAGCTCTTTCTTGTTCCCGGCTCAGATGATTACTGAATTACATTCTTTCTTTGCACACACAGTCCCGGCATCTTCCTCCACTGTTAAGGATTTCTTGCTTGTAGCTTTTTCTTTCTCTTCACATCCTGTTGCTGTATTTCCCATTTTTTTTTTCCTGTGTGTGTTTGCACTGAACTAAGGACCTTATGCGTGCTGCATGCTAAGCACACCCTAAATTTACTTCTTAGCGGTACCCAGCCCTTATTTCTTTTTAAACACCATGTATTTTGGTAATCTGTTCATACTGCCATTTTTCCTGAGCTACTCCTCTCCCTTAAATAGTCTTCTGGAATCATTTAATTTGATGACCCTCTTGTAGACTATTTTTACCTTGAAGACGAACATATATAGCTTAGCTATATGTTTATTGTAGAGATGTTTTTGGAGCTGGCTTTTGTGTCTTTGAATATTTGCTCCATGTGAGGCAAACATGTTGGAGAGGGAATGTAACAGTTTTCAGGAAAAACAGCCTAGAGCCAGGGCTTTAAATATTTAGACTTGGAAGGGTGAGTAGCTTCTGATTTACTGTAAGTAGAACATTTCTAACATGCATCACTCTCCAGTTCCTGAAACTGTGGACTGTCCAGTCAGACCGCTCAGAGCACAGCTTTCTGGGAAAAAGTATTGCCTGGGCTTGGCAGTATCGCTGGTGAGCCCAGTAGAGAGGCTGACAGGCATCAGGACAGACAGGAGGAGCTCTACTCTCCATTCTGAATGAAATCCAGGTTCAAGGAGTGAAGGTCCGGATTCTGACAGGATCATTTCATACCATAACCAGACAGGCTCGCTGTCCTCAGGTCCTTCACAGCGTATTTCAGCACAGCCCTCACATTTGGAAGGATGGAAGCTAGTCCTGCTTTCCTGGTTGAAGTGTCTATTGCCAGCAAAGCAGCACAAGAGAGATGCAGATGAGCAGATTGTCTTCTCTTTTTCCTTCCCAGCTCCGGGTTGAGAGACCATGATGTAATTGTCAGCATAAATGGGCAACCTGTCACCACCACAACTGATGTCATTGATGCTGTGAAGGACAACGACTCTCTCTCCATGATTGTACGACGGGGAAATCAAACCTTGTTTCTGACAGTCATACCTGAAATAATCAATTAAGTATCTTACTTTAAGGAGAAATTAGCGACCAAAACCAGTCACATTGCCTGGTTTGCAGTGAGGAAGTAACAAAGACGGCAGGAACACAAACATCAGGAAAAATGGATGCTCTGAATGCAGGGGCACACACACCTGCATATGCCCACATGCATGCATATGTATACTCATACAGAGCCAGGGATCTTTAGGTGGGAGGTGCTACTCTGCTATAACAAAACCTAAGTCAAGTAGAAATAGACATGGTGTCTGGAAGCTTGGGGAACTGCCAAAATTTCACTTTAAGATAGTAAACAACTAAAAACCAGGCAATTCCTAATTGAATCTTGATAGAAAGGTGTTTCAGTAACCTTATATAGCAACAAACTATGCACGTATGCATGTACAAATACTCTGCCTGCCAAAGAGCACCAAAAAGTCTGAACCTGGAGTAAAAAGTGATCACGTTTTCAGTAGTATTCCATGGTGTACTTGGTTTGCCCAGGTCCCACCACATTTTGGCCAGGGTTTGTGGATAGAAAGGTCGTTTACAAAACAGTCAGAAACCAATGACACTGATTGTCACACAGGAGTATGACCCTCAAAATGATCACTTTAGTAGAAACAATTCTGGTCTCCAAAGTTGTTTCTGAGAACAGCTTCTTCTATTAAACAGCTTCTTGAACAATTTATAGACTTAGCTTTTTACTTAAGTTCTTTTTTGGTGGACCTTGTAAATGCTAACAGGGAGATTTCTAAACAGTGAAATAAATGTTGGCTTAAAGTAAATGTCTTATTCTGAGTAAAACGTTTAGTCTCCATGCTCACAAACTTACAGACTTGAGAGGTGCTGGTAGCACATGCAGGCAGCACTAGTGCATGTTAAACAAGGGCTTTATCCCTGAGCTACACTCAGTGAGGTGCTTCTGTCTTCTGAAATATGGCATCTTTGGACCTATTAACGAATTTTCTTCATTATTTTTTCTCTTAAAGTCTTGATGTGTACGTTTTTAAGGAGGGGGTCTAGTTTATGATCAATTAAGAAATATTGCTTTAGTGTATAGAGATTATGAATTAAGAGTCTGCCGACTGTTCCTGTTCTAAGCGGGGGCTGTGTGATTCCCACCTTTTAAGACAAAAGCTTTTTATAGTTGCCACCCCTGGTAATATAAAAACAGTAATAATAATCAAGAATAAGGCAGAAACCTTAAAAAAATAATTATTTTTATTTTATGTACATGAGTGTATTGCCTGCATGTGTTTAAGTGCACCCGTGTCGTGCCATGCCCGTGGAGGTTAGAAGAGGGCGTTGGATCCTCTGGAACTGGAGTTATGACTGGTTGCTTGCCACCATGTGGTGGCTGGGATTTGAACCCGGGTCCTCTGTAAGAGCAGCCATCTCTCCAGCCCAAAGGCAGAAACTTTAAAGGAAAGTGCTACACAACAATAGAACATCTACAGGGAGTTATTTAACCTGAATGGTCTTGATCTTTAAGTCAGTTATTATGGAGTAAACTCTGAGTAGTTCTTGCCTGTTCCTAGTATCTGTGAGTTCTGTGAATTCCTCTGAACAGCAGGCTCCAGGCTTAGCCTGCCCACAAGTTCTACCTTCCATTTTGTACTCCACAGCTCCTTTCAATGTAGATTACCAAGGATGGGACCTGAATTTCAGAACCACTTAGAAATCAGAACGTGTCCTTTCACTGCCAGTGACCTGGGAGTGCAGGACCTGCTGCATCTTCCCACCCCTGGGGCTGCCATGCTTATACTGCACATGTGCTCCTTTCTTGTTCCCATAATCATACTGTACTACCTGGGATTCAGTACCCACTACATACACTGTACTAGCTGGTATTCAGTACCCACTACACACACTGTACTGCCTGGCATTCAGTACCCACTACACACACTGTACTACATGGTATTCAGTACCCACTACACACACTGTACTGCCTGGCATTCAGTACCCACTACACACACTGTACTACCTGGTATTCAGTACCCACTACACACACTGTACTGCCTGGCATTCAGTCACACTGTACTACCTGGCACTCAGTACCCACTACACACACTGTACTACCTGGCACTCAGTACCCACTACACACACTGTACTACCTGGTACTCAGTACCCACTACACACACTGTACCACCTGGTATTCAGTACCCACTACACACACTGTACAACCTGGTATTCAGTAACCACTACACACACTGTACTACCTGGTATTCAGTACCCACTATATACACTGTACTGCCTGGCATTCAGTACCCACTACACACACTGTACTGCCTGGTATTCTGTACCCACCACACACACTGTACTACCTGGCACTCAGTACCCACTACACACACTGTACTACCTGGCACTCAGTACCCACTACACACACTGTACTGCCTGGTATTCAGTACCCACCACACACACTGTACTACCTGGCACTCAGTACCCACTACACACACTGTACTACCTGGTATTCAGTACCCACCACACACACTGTACTACCTTATTCAGTACCCACTACACACATTGTACTACCTGGTATTCAGTACCCACTACACACACTGTACTACCTGGCACTCAGGACCTATTACAGGAGTATGCTTTTCTTTCCAAAGGCGTGGAGCTTTTCATTTTATCTCACCTAACTTTGAAGAAGAGTTTTATAGTTACTTACTTGTATAAATTTTTTTTTCTAA